AAAAGATTTGATTAACTGAAATAATTTCCTATTAGAAGAGATACATATTAAATTCCTATTCACAAATTTAAGTGTAAGATCTTTATAAAACCAGCTCTCTGGATTTTATCAAACAACATTTTGCAAACATGTACATCTAATAAAGAAAATATTTCGTTGCTAAACTTTTTGCCTTCATCTTTTATTTAATAAAAACAAAACAAAATCAAAATTCTTCTTTTTTTTTAAAGTTATTTTATTGAACGAACTCAAAGTGCTCGATCATTACTTGATAAAGCTGTTGAATTATATCCAGAAATGGTAATTAGTCTAGATAAAATAAAAACGCACATAAAATTAAGCTTTTTTTTTTCTTTCTTCTCAGGAAAATGAAGATGTTGGTTCAAATAGTGATGATCTTGAAGATGATGAACCGATGGAAAATATATCTTCTAATGTTGTTATTAAAAATGTATCTAGTAATGTACCATCAAAAACGACTCCAACACCACGACGACCAAATTCTCCAACAATTGTTACTAGTGGATTAAATCAACGAATATCACCAGCACCAACAACACCAATACAACAAAATAAAACTATGCATCATCATCATCCACGATCATAAAAATAGATTTTGCAACATTTTCACTCTATGTTCTGTTTTAACAGTGTGTGTGTGTGCGTGTGCCTTTTTCCTTTCTTTTTTTTTTTCGAGAGTAAACCAGTCCGGTTGATTATCTATGATTCTGATCTGGTTATTACAAATTCTTTACCCAATATTATCTGCTTGGCAGAAAGCATTTGTATCCGGACAAAGTCTATCTATTCTCGTTATATATATACATATTGGTGTGCAGAGTAGAAATTTTTAGAAAAATATAAAAAAAAAAACAAACGCATCATATAAAACAACAGATCTTATTATTATTTATTTCTGTGCTGTAAAATTATGTATGTTCATTTTTCTACTTTTATTTTCTTCTTCTTCTTAGGCTTGTATCTTCGAGAGAAAAAAATACACAAAAAACAAGAATATGCACAGGGTCATGGTTTTCTTTTTTTTTTCTTCTTCTTTTTCGTATGAAAACTGATGGTTTTTTTTTTCTTTGTCTGTGTATGTATGTGCACTTCGATGTATCTCTTATGTGTATATTTTGTGTCTCTTCTTGTTTGCGCGATCCATAAACAGGTCAATTACATGAAGAGTATTTTGACGATTAAGAAGATGATGATGATGATATTGACCTATCTGACTCACCTGTGGCTTTTTTTTTCGTTATTACGTGTTTATCACTATTACCACTACAGCTGTATTTCCTCTTTTTTTTCTTCTTTCTTTCGTTCGTTTTTTTTTTAACTCTGCAAAAGAGAGCGCATGCGCGTCAGAAACAGAATAAAGTGAATATATTTTCAACAAAAAAAATATGTACAAAGGATGTAATGCAAACTGAGTCTCATCTCAAGTATTTTTTTTTGTGTACTAGTAAGTATGGTTAACTAAGCATATCTTCGAAGTCGATTTGAAACTTTGCATTCTCTTGCAAAAATATATTCTCTCTGAGAATATAACGAACGTTTTATAGGTCAACATGAGAGAAGCCTTCGTGATTGTAGTATCTGAGAGATCTTCTATATATAAGAATATGGGTGTGATATTGTTTGTTATTTAATTTTCTTTCTAGGTCACGCTGAAGTTCGGCTATATTTTAGATCTTCAGTACACTACTCTTTGGTCGCATTCTTTTGAGCAATAGTCATGACGGCATTGAAGATATCTAACATCAGTGGCAATAGTAGATACGGAATGAACTGAAGAATATGATTGAATGTCACAGGATAAACCATGAATATTATCTCAACTGTGTCATACAAATATAAAACTGCATGAACTTTCCCAATAACCTATTACAAAGTTTTATTCTGCATCGTTGTCTTATATTATTTCGATGTAATCAGTTTAATCCAAGAGTCTAGTTAAACAATCGATTACGAACATATTCATTATCTCTCGAAATATTGAGTGATCGTGAATCGAATAATTCCATAATGCAATCAGCAAGCGATCTGCAATTTCCGGCATTTGAAGAGACAACATTGGAGCACGTCCAACTGTATTTGCAATCATGAATTGATAAGTTTTTGAGGGACATTTGAAAAATTATGCATACATCTCTATCCTAACTGCAACTGACGTTGTGAATGCTCATAACGTTAGGTCGATCTATGGGAGAAATATTTATCAGTTCTACAGTTGAGTGAAACAGCCGAATGATTTGCATTTCTCTCTTTTTTTTTTGCTAGTTATGTATAGTAGAAGTTGTCTAGTAGCGACTGCATTGAAACGAATTACTGTTGTTTCCTTTTCTGTAAACCAAAATATAGAACAGAGAAATCACAACCCTAGCGAAATACACGGATTATTATGACTTTCAAAATGACAATAGAAAATGCTTACATTTTTAAGTAAGAGTTGTTATTGTGAATATCATTGTGTTTAATGCAACTGATACAAGAAAAGGAAGAAATATATCATAACTTGTAATAGTTTTTTTAGCGTGTTTCTTCACAAGAAAAATCGTATATATATATACTTCTTGTCTTTCGCTTACAGTATGACAATCATTTTGAAAAAAACCACATATGAGTATAATCATTGGGAAAATGGCAGTGAGGCGAGATTTTGATAATTGATGTTTTGGGTGTGGATGTGGCTGAGGATATAGATGCACGTGTTGGTGTGGTGTGAATGTCGGTATGGATGTTGCAGAGGTGTTACTGTCCTCGTCACACATCCACATTTGCATAAAAACTCATACCCATACCGAACATACACCCTCCGGAACAGGTGCCTAGGCGAATATGGACTAGTTTTAGTATATTTGTTAAAAGATTCTTAAAGGAAGCAAACAATATTCTGCAATTGATCGAGACAAGGTTTGGACTATGGAAAATCTAATGATATCATTAAACAGAACTCGTGAAACTATCTTCACCTACGTCATCGTTAGCACAGTTTTAGGTAGCAAAATATTTCATGATGCATATTAATCATATTTATTGAATGTATTTTGAGCTAAAGCACTGGAATCCATGAGTTGGGTTCCTCATACCGGTATTTCTGTGTGAGTATGAAGATATCAATAAATGAGTGTATGGCATCGATATGAAAACTGATATCCGCACAGTGCTATAGAGATTGAATAATGTAAACTCAAAGACAATTGCTGATGTCAGACATGTCGGATACATTTTGAATTCGTTGTATTTATATGCTTATGTTTATATGATAGATTTTAAAATATCGATTTCTTTATTGAAATCGTTTTTCTTCTTGTTATTGTTTCCTAATAAATAGTTAGACTAAGATCACAAGTGATGTCCTTGAAGCTAATGTTGACCGTATCAACGAGAAATGGTCGAAAACTCTTATTCGTAAAATTTATTTTACACTGCATCATTATCATTAACGAAATGTGTTGTAGACGATCAAATACAATTATCTAATTTAACATTCTTAAAGTTTTTTGATTTTTCTGGGATATTTGAAACTTTAATATTTGTTGAAATAAAGAAAATATTCTATTGAACCAAGCCTTTTTGAAAGAATAATTAAATAATAATCTATAAAAATACATAGGAATGCAAATGAGATTCTGTGTCATTTGCATCTAACTGGTGATCATAGATATTTTTCCTCATATTCAAAAAAGTATTTGTATTATTCAAAATAAATTATATTCAATAATAGCGAATTGTACTAGAAAACTTTTATAAAAAAGATTCAGCATCTTTTATTTATTCTACTAATGTTCATTGAATTGTTGTTTAATTCTTCATAATATCCCAAAAACGGAGATGTGAATCTCTAAGGAGAAACAGAATTTTTTTTTTGTATTTGAAGGTTCTTTGAACTACTTTATGTCATTTCGTTCTACTTGAAGCAAAAATCCAAATGTTATGACTAGAATTTCTCTTACTTTTGCTAACTAACAATCTAATTGACATAATCATTGATCCACAGTTCCAATGTTCAATTCATCTAGATCCGACGAATTCAAATCAGCTGGATAGTCTAGTAGAGGTTCAGAGTTATTTTCTAGTGGATTTATCATAGTTTTGAATTATTTCAACGTACGTATAACCTATTCTGATGTACTTTTATACTATGACGTAATTTTACAATTAAACTACACTATGTTTATCCGTAGATATATTCCAACCTGATACCTATCAAATAAATTATGTATTTTATTTTTTAATTTAAAAGAAAACCCAAACCTTCAAAGTCACTTTCTCCTCAATAAATACATTCTTTTCATCAATGAGCTGTAAACAAGACAAGTGTCGACAACTATTTACTTCAATTACTACTCTGTACAACTGCGTAATATTAGTGTTTAATTATCACATCTAAAAAGAAGAAATTATTTGATTTTTATTACACGCTGAAGAACGAAACAAACATCAATAGAAGGTAAAAGTGTACAAATTACTCGTAAAAAAAATGAGTTTGACATAATTGCCTACTTAAACCTTAAATGTTTCATAAAACAAATCACAAAATTAAGTGTGACGGAAAATGTACCTAAAAAAAAGAAAAGGTCATCATCATACATGATTTATATATATAGTAACATAGTATTTCTTTTATAAGAAAAACAATCAATGGAAATTTTTAGATGTAAAAGTTTACTAAAAATATATCAAGAGGTCGCTCTATAATAATGCTGAATTTTTATTTCAATAATAGATGTCGCACAAAATATTTTTTAAACAAAATAAATTAATTTTTTTTAAATAGATAAATATTTTTCTCTTAGAAAAAAAATTTAATTTAATTTAAAATATTTATTTTTATATTTTGATTGCTTGTCAGCCATTGTCTATCCTAATAATACCAAATATACTTTTTAAAGCAAAGAATTGCTTCTTCTTTCTCTTATTACATTTATTGTTTATTATTGTTTATTGTTTGTCTATTTAATTCTTACTTTCAATTTTGAATCCAATAGGTAACAATGGCACTTCCAATTCAAGTATATCTTATGAAAATAAAACAATGAAATAAATATTTATTTTCTTATTATTATTATTTAGGATGATGAAGATGCTGCACAACTTAAATTTCCAAAAGAATTTGATAAAGCTGAACCAATGATGATATCTGAAGTATTACTTATGCTTGAACAACGTCGACAACAACATACAAATTCAAATAATAATATGTCAAATCTTGGTATTGATGATGATGATGATGAAATAACATTATCCGAAGCATTTAATGATACAGTTGCTTATTGTGAAAGATTTAGTAAATTTAAAACAAAAGAAGCTATTGGTGCTGTAAGAAATTTACTTTTTCCAAAAGATCAAACAAATGGTATGACAACAACAAATTCTACACCTGGTTTACATAAATTTGAAGCTGCATTACTTGCTAATCTTTGTCCACAACAAGCTATTGAAGCGAAAACTTTAATACCATCTTTAGATAGTAAATTAGATGATGATGAATGTCAAAAAATAGTTGATGAAATTCAAACTTATAGGAGTTTTCAATGTTAAAATAAAATCTAAATACAAAAAAAAATATACATATTGTTTTTTATTCTAGATTTAGTTTTCTTTTTTTTTGCTTTATTTTCTTTTGTACATCGCTATGAAATCCAATGGACGGTAGTGAAGCACAAATATCATATCAAATAGATTCTCAAACAACATCATCGGTAATGGCAAATGTCGATACACAACGTCCAATGTATACAGTACCTGGTATACTTCATTTTCTTCAACATGAATGGACGAGATTTGAAATTGAACGACAACAATGGGAAACAGAACGTGCAGAATTTCAAGTAATAAAAAAAAAAAAAAATTTGAAAAAAACTTCTTTGTCTTGTCTTCTAGGCACGTATCGCTTTTCTTCAAGGTGAAAGACAAGGACAAGAAAATCTAAAAAGTGCACTTGTTAGACGTATTAAAATGCTTGAATATGCATTAAAACAAGAAAGGTAAAAGAAAAAAGTTTTCTAATAATAATGATAACGGTTCTTTTTTTATAATGTATTTGATAATTCTCAAGAGAATATAAATATTGATTTCTTGAAAGAAAAAAAATATACGTTGTTTTATCTCATGGGATTTTTATCATTTAGATTAAAATTCAATAAATTAAAATATGGAAGTGAAAATGTTCCATTAGAAGATCAAAAACCAACATCAAATGAAGCACAAAATTTTGATGATGGTAATACTTGATTTTTTTTTGTTTTGGAATTAATTTTCTTTTTTTGTTTTTAAATAATTTCATTTAGATGAAAATAAAGAAGATCCTAATTTAGGTTTTGGTGATAATAGTGTTTCATTTAAACAAGGTCGTCAATTACTTCGACAGTAAAATTATTTATTTTAATTAATTTCGATAAGAATTTTTTTTTTAAATTAGATATTTAAAAGAAATTGGTTATGTTGATACAATAATTGATATACGTTCAACAGCTGTTAAAAAATTACTTGGTATTAAAAGTGAAACTAATTTCAATGGAAATAATAATAATAATAATAATATCAGTTTAAATGGTGATTTTAAATCAACAAATGAATCAAAACGGTAGAATTTATAGATTTGAAAAAAAACAACAAAACTAATTAAATTTTTGTTTTTCTTTTGATAGAATCATTCCAAATATTGTTAAAAATGCAACAAGTGATTTAAGTAAATCAGTTCTTGCATCACTTGTCTTTCTTAAAGAAGATCAACCTGATGAAGATTCAAGGTAAATATTAGAAATTATGAAATGAAAATCTATGTTTTTTTCTTCTTCTAGTGACGATGATATTGACGCTAGTCGTATAATGGTTAAACCAAGTGATGTTAATACAACGAATCATAATACAGGTCTTGATACACTCAATGATCTTGATAGTGAAGAAGTAGCTTTACATGAATTTGATTTTCTTACTGGAGATGCTGCCACATCAGGAAATATAAATCAAATGAAATCAAATGGTAATTTAATAAATTTATTTTTCTTTGAAATTCAATATCTATTGATTATTTTTTTAAATTTTTTAAAATAGAAACAAATAGTGATGATTGGGATGTTGATCAATCTCGATTAAATCGTCTTAAAGAAGAATATAAACGTGATCGTCATGGTAAACAACATCAACATCATACAACAAATTCATCATCAATTCGAAATAATTTACTTGATAATGGAAATGATGATACATCTTCTGATCAACGAACATTTTCAACAGATGAACAAAGTATATTTTAATTAATAAACAAATAAATAAATTATTTTTTTTTTTTGTATATAGTCAATCGCGAAATGGTTGATACAATGATGTTTCGAAATAGTAAAAATTTTATGGGAGATACTGCTATGGATAGTCTTGATGAATTAGCACGAGTTACAGTTTTAAATGACAATGAACCTCAAGATGATGTATGTTATAGAAATTCGTTTAATGTAATTTCATTATTCTTTTTTTGTTGATATTTTTCTTAGACTACAACAACAGATTCATCTGATTTTCGAAAGATATGGAATGTTAAATATGTTTTACGAAGGTAATTATATTTATATAGAATTAAAACTAACAAAAAAATAAAAAAATCTTTTTTTGTTCAGTCATTTGGATGGTATACGTTGTGTTACATTTCATCCAGTTGAATCAGTTGTTATAACTGGATCTGAAGATCGTACACTTAAATTATGGAATCTCGAAAAATCAGCTGTTTTAAGAAAGTAAGAAAATAAATTTTTTATTTTTACAAAAATATTAAATATGTTTTTGTTTAATCTAGATCAGCATCGACAACACAAGATCTTGAACCAATCTATACATTTCGACGGCATACGTAAGTTTAATAATAATAAAAATTGTGAGAATAAAACTTTCTCAACTGAAGATGATGAAAATATATTACAGAGAAATCAATATGCAAGTATTTATGAATGTTTTTCTAGTGCCTGGAATAATTATTGATTTGATTAAAAATGAACTTTTCCGGGCCTTTTTTTTTTTTTTCGTCATGGGAAATAATATGATGATACACTTGTTCAGTGTTAGTAGTCTATTAAAATTTCGATTGGATCTTAGTTAAATACGAAACTTTTTGCCAGATCATATAATTGAATTTATTTAATTGATCTAGCGGTCCCGTCTTATGCGTGGCAATGAATCCGTCCGGAGAACAGTGTTATAGTGGTGGTCTTGATTCAATTATATCTGTATGGAATATTCCAAATTCTGATGTTGATGCATATGATTCCTATGGTAAATAAATAATTAAAAATTTTTTTTTTTTTTTTTTTATTGATATTATTTTTTATTTTTAAAGATTCAAATGTTTTATGCAAAGTGTTAGAAGGTCATACAGATGCTATTTGGCAATTAGTTATATCCGGTCAAAAATTATTATCATGTTCATCGGATGGATCTATTCGATTATGGGATCCAAATTTAATTCAACCATTACAATCAATATTTCATAGTACAGTAGTGAAAAAAACTAATTTTCTTTCCCTCTTCTACACATCTCGAGTATTATACATTGGAAGATTTTTTGTATTCCCTATTACACAAACTGTGTACTGACCTTTCGGGGACCATAACTCAGGAATAGTTCAGTAATAGATTGAATTCTCATTATGTTTAAGCAATCGGGACGACTTTCATCTTTCTGAACGAAATTTTTAGAACACTATTCTAGACCTTTAGGATGTATAATAATCGTAATACGTAGATTTTTGTCCATTTCTTCAGGCATTGATCTTTTTTTTTTTTGTTAATAATATAGATGATGATATTCCAATATCTATTGATTGGTTAATGCAAGATACAAATCAATTTGTTGCAACATATGATTCTTTAAAAACAATTCTTTATGATACTGAAACAGGAAAAGTTGTATCACAATTTGGTAATGATAATTCAACATTAGATCCAAGTTATCGAATTAATAAAATTATGAGTCATCCATCACAACCAATTATAATAACAGCACATGAAGATAGAAAAATACGATATTTTGATAGTAATTCCGGTAAATAAGAAAGAAAAACAAAACATTTATCGATATATATTAAATGAATGTTTTTGTTTATTTTAAGGACGTATAATACATTCAATGGTAGCTCATCTTGATACGGTTACTTCATTAGCAATTGATCCACAACAAACATGCCTTCTTTCTGGCAGTAAGAATGAAATTTTTTTTCGAACAAAAAAAAAAAAAAATTTTTTTTTGTGATGTAAAAAATTTTTAAGGTCATGATCGTTCAATACGTTTATGGAATTTGGAAACAAAAAATTGTATACAAGAGTTAACAGCTCATCAAAAGAAAGATGATGAATCTATACATGACGTTGCATTTCATTTATCAAAACCTTATATGGCTAGTGTTGGAGCTGATTCAATAGCGAAAATTTATGCTTAAAACAAATAAAAATTTTCATTGTTGATGTGTTCTTCTTCTTCTGTTTTTTAGCACGCAGAGTCTCTAGTTTTGTGTTGTTGTCATCTTTTCGTGTGCCAGATATAACATCATCTTTTGCTCTTATTGTCTGTAATTTTTTGTGCACACGAATTCTGTTTTTATAAAAAACACAAATTCCTTTACCATACAAATTTATTCTTTTTCCTTTTTTTTTTTTTTTTGTGTAAATAAAAACATCAAACATGTGTGTGTGTGTGTGTGTGTGTGCGTGTGTATGTATGTCTTTTGTTCATTCTATTTTCACTTTGAAATGCGAACAACAAATTAAAACAGAATGTCATTTTCTTTTTTTTTTTTTCTCTTTTTTTTGTCTTTGGTTCACTATCTAATCTATCGTATATTTCTTGTCTTTTACTGAGAAAAAAAAATATATTAGCATTAAAAAAAAAAGATTCGAGCACGGTGTGTGTAGACAACACACTCATTTGTTTTGTTTTATTTTTTTTTGTTTGAATGTAAAAAAAAAAAAAGAAAAGGAAATCAAAGATGTCTAACGTTTCCTATGAAGATTGACGGGTACAAGTGTTTGATTCCTTAGTTTTTTTGTAATTTCCGGAAAATGAAATCATAGACCCACATTACAGAAGGAAATATGTTAATGATTGCTTTTATAGAATTGACATGTTTTTATGTTAATATTATTATAAGAAGAAAAACAAACATAAACCTTTAGATTAGTATACTACAAAATGATAAAAAATACTTACGAATTGTAATTCTGATATATAAGATCTTGAGTTTATGTTGGAAATAAATTAATACATACCAAAATTATTCAATAAGGTTTATTTTCGATTGTCGCAAGCCCTAGAAAGAATCCAAATAGTAACATGAGTAGAGATAATTGTTTCCAATAGGAATATAAGAAAATAAAAATTATTATCAGATTCTCAAAATAGAAACTTCGGAAAATCAAAATCCTTGTTTTCCAGCACCTAGAACGTGTAAATATAATTTTGTTTAGACTACAGAATGATAAAATACATAACTACATACAAAATGTGATGCCTGCAAGGTCTCTACGATGGTGTTTTTGGCTGAGATACAGTAATCTTATGGAACTATCTAAAGCTGATATTTTTAGTATTTCCTATAGAAAAGGTCAATGTTTTTAACCTTCAACCAAATTGCTGCTATTTCAGATGAAAAAGGTCGTAGAGAATTGGGAGACATCTCATTTTGCAGGCAATTATTCACGCTATCATTCTATATTGTCTAAACAACACTATATTTACGTGCTTTAGGTACTGAAAAACTAGAATTTTGATTTTCTGAAGTCCATATCTTTGAAAGTCTGATTATAATCTTTATTTCCTTATATTCTTGTTGAAAATCGTTTTCTCTATTCGAATCACTATTTCGATTGTTTCTAACCTCTACGACACTAGAAAAAAAAATTGAAAACAAAAACTTTGTTGAATAATTTTGGTACTCACTTTATAATCTATACGGAGCGGGTCAGAAGTTTCTAAACAAAAAATTTGACTATTTTTTGTGTATTTAAATTGTGCTCGTTTAGAATATATGCTTAGAATTTTTCTACGACTTTTAATAATTGAGCTATAAGAAAATCTTCAAAGAACTCAAAAAAAAATTTTTTGAAGACAAGTCTGCTTCGTGTAGATATCAAATAAGTTCTGTAATTATATTGTGCTTGAAGGTGATCTGTACTATACAAAATGATGTCAGAATTTGTAGTGAATTATTTTCTGTATCTTCCGATATATTCAATAAAATTTTGTGGCATATCTCGGAGAAGTTTCATTTGAGGTTTTTCCGTTCCTCCCCTTCCCTCTAAACAAATTTTAAAGCCGTTTCAAGTTTCACTTATTGTTCAATATTCAAAAAGTCATAGAAAAACTCGAAGTATATAATCTAAAAGTTCATCAACTTCCGAGTCAAATATTTTGTCAAGAAACTTTCAGCCCACGCCTTTGCACAAGAATAAATGTTCATAATACAAAGAATAATTTAATAGAAAGTGTTAATACATCCATCTGATCTCTTTTAAGCTCTCCGCGAGAAAAAACAGTCCATTCTCCTCAGAAAAATCGAAATTGAGATGATAATTCTAGGTCTGATCTTTTATAAATGAACATAGTTTTTTATTTGACAATTTCGTCACTTGCCGTTTGAAAAATATGCTATTTTCTGTGTTTGTGCTTTTCTAATCAAGCATTCTAGAATTCTCCAAGGAACTTCATTGTAGCCAATTGCTTTTTTTTTTATTATTCAAAAAGAACATGTGAATCTGCAGTGTCCGTTTTTTGGATTAAACTTTTTAAAAAGTATTTCTATAAGTCGATGTCTATTTTTTCAGATATTAAACTTGTCATCCTTTTTCTTCACATAAAAAGAAAGAATTTGGAAACAATGAGTACTGCAGTCTGACACTTTCTTTCTAATAAAACAATATAGAATGAAGATCCACAGAGAACAGATGAGCTATTCTTTAGCCTTGTTTGGTGACTATCTTCCGAAAATGTAATAATATAGGACTGAAAATTTTAATAAAACCTCTCGACTATAATCCCAATATGCCCTGAACATTTCATCTAATTTGAATATACCTAGCCCAAGATCGTTTTTTTTTACGGATAACATTTGTTAATAGGTGATTTCATGTTCCATCAGTCCTATTCTCATGTTATGTATATAGTATTGAATTATGCCAATGGTCGAATTATAGTACTTCTTTTAATAGTACTGATCTAAGATGGAATTTTATCAAACACAAAATGTCAAAAAAAAAAATGAGAATCCAAAAGTCACTACGTGAACTCGAAAATGCGGCCGAGGAATTACGAAATAACCTATTAATAAATATTATTCAAGAATCTATAACAAAAAAATCTCACGCGATGTGTCAACACTTTGTATCTCTATATTATAAGCATTGAGTCTTGTGCAATTCATATATATATATCTACGTCAATTTGTTTCTAACTATAGTCTATCTTTTATATACAAAATATGCTTCACGAGTGTTTTGTTATTAATAGATATTGAATAAAATATCTTCTGATAGCGTCTATGAAAATAGCCTTAATACAGCATGAAAAATTGATTATTCTTTATCCACTGATGCGATCCATTTGTCTCTTGTGTATACAATCAACAAAAAAAAAGAAAAAAAAAAAAAGAAAGATCATTATATTTATATTGCTTGATAGGTTTTTATCCATAGATTTTTCTTTCCTTCTGCATTTCTGTTAATAATAATAGAAAGAAAAGAATAAAGGTCTTGTTCTAACACATCTGTTCCAGACATTCATCATAATATATGCACTAGTTGATTGTCATATTTCGTGATCAATTTGTTATTTTTTATATATCAATGCCTATAGATATGGATGGTTTACGTGACGGTTATCGTGGTCGATATCGTGATCGACATAATAATTATTCGACACATCGAAATAATCCTATGGATCGATCAACACGTGGAAACTATCAGTATGATAAATTTTTTTTTTCTTTAAATTATAGAAAAGAAAGATTTGCCTTTTTTCTTTTTGTTCAGTGAACGTCCAACACATAGTAATGATCATAATGGTAATTATTCATCAAGAAATTCATCAAATGAAAGTAATAATTATCGTTCATCACGTATATCACTTAATTCTCGACCTGTTTCATCACGAAATGGCCCACCAAAACATCATCGTTATCAACATCATAATGATGATTATTCATCTTCATCAAATATTTCTTCATCATTATCTAATCGAACAAATAGTGGTCAATCAAATTATTATGATAATCATTCACCATCATCAAGATTCGATCGATCATCAAATCATCGTGAAAAATATTCATCATTATTAACTGAACAACAAATTATTTCCAATAATTCTATTCCATCAAATTCTTTATATTATAATTCATCTCAATCAATATCACCTTTACATGATCGTGGATTACCACCATTATTACCATCACAACATATTGATTCAGAACGTAATCGATATGTTTCATCATCGTCGAATTATCGGTAAAGTTTTATTTTTCAATTACATATTCTAGACAATTTTTAATATGTTTCTTGTAGACGAAATAGTTCTCCACCACCACCACCACCACCACCACCACCTGTTTCATCTTATCGAAATGAACGATTAATGGACTATGTACCTCGAAATATTAATAATGATATATATATGCGTAATGAATATCGATCTCTAACACCTCCACCATTGGTTCCTGTATCTATACGTAATGATCCATATAGTGGTGAACTGTATCGACCAAATGATTATGGCACACGTTCTGAACGATATGACATGCCATGTAAGTGCTATTCTAAACAAATTTTTTTTCTAGTAACCTGTCGCTCTTAGCACAAAACATAATTTTCCTTTTCTATCGTTCATTAAACAATCATGTGTGTTTATTTTGATTACATTCAATCTATTACTATCTCTCGGTTAATTTAACCACATATATATATATATATATATCAATATAATGATCACACAAGAACCAAAGTTCCTTTTTTTTTTATCACTTCGAAGTAGATATAAATCATTTATTATCATTATGATTAATTTCTCAGACGTCTATATTCATATCTTTACTCACGATGATTGATGTTCGATATATTCATGAGAGAAAAAATAAACTATAAATATATCATCAACCTTTTTTCAATGTCATCGTCTGATTTCGATTATAAAACAAAAAACAAAAAACCTTCTTTAATTCAATATGATTAAATAATAACAATTATTCAAAATACAAACAATAAACAAATAATTCATAATCTTTCTTATTTTTCTTTCTGAATAAATCAGTTTCCTAATATACTAAGATTTCGATAAAAAAAAAAAAAAAAAAAAAGTAAATAATAAATTTCGAAAATTTATATTTATTTTCTTATACATTATTACAATCAAGCGAAAAAATACTCCTTTAATTTGTAGCGAATCGAAATAATACATCATCACGTGATCATTCAATGGCATCTGTCTCATCATCTACTTATCGTAATGATTTGTATCGAAGTTCATCAAATGTTTCAATGTCATCACCATCATCCTATACAACACGTGAACAATATATACAAGATGTTAATTATCGTTCAATATCTCAATCAAGAGATTATGGAACTACATTATCATCATCATCACGTCCTAATTATCCATCATTAATGGATCATCAAGAAGGTTTATTTCGAAATAATCGTGATCGTAATCAGAATGATAATCGTTCATCATCTCATCGTGATCGTCCAAATTTAAAACGTTCTGGTTCAAGATATAATGATAATGGACCAATACCATCTAAACGACCTATGAGACGATAAACAAAATGAAAAATAAAATTTATCCATAGTTTTGTTTTTTGTTTTTATTTTTCTTCCAAAATTTCATCGTTCGTTTTTTTTGACGAATGAATTTATATTAGATAAAAAACAAGCAAAAAAAAAACCAAGAAGACTATATGTATATCAAATAGTTTGAACATTATCTCCATTGTATGTACAAACATTTTTATTTCTGTCTGTTTTTGTTTGTCTATGGTTTGTGTATATTGAAAAAAAAACAATTGTAAAACTTTCATTGATTTTTTTTTCATGATAAAAAAAAAAGAAACAAAAACTTGATTAATATATGTAAAAGAAAATTCTATTCGTCTTATAAATATAAACAAGTGATATTGATTTTTCATATATATATATGTCTATCGTTATTGTTATTTTATTTTCATGTCATTTTTATTCGGTAAGAATGTGTTAATTTATTTTTCAAGGTGTTTTAATTTTGTCTACTAATATATTTGTTCTATTTTTATTTTCTTCTTATCATAGGCGACAATCTGGATGATTGTACGAAATCGTCATTAACATTCAAGGATACATTGTACCAACAGGTATATTAAAAACAAAAAAATAATTGATATAGATTCATTTATGTTGATCAAAAAACAATATTATTACCTGATCTGAATTGAAGATGTGCAGGGTACATGTTTTTTTTTGTATTCTGTACCTTGACTGACGGGGGAATGTTCTGAAGTGTCCTATCACTTTTTGATCAACATTGTACCCAGATGACAGGCTATAGTGAACAGTGTCAATGTATAAGATGGTTCGGTTGTGTGAATCATTATTTTTGAGATATTGAATTTTTCACTAGAAACTTGGATTAAGAAATTCAGTAAAAATTCGATAATGTCAAGAACATAGGCTCAGACAACCGAACCATCTTTGGCTTTGATATTACTCACCAGAGCCTATCGTTTGAGTAGAGTCTCAATCGAAAAGCAATTGAAGACTTCGGTAGATTCTCTTGTGAAAAAAAAAAATTTCTAACCTTTACTCTACTCTGCACATCTCTAACATGAATAGATTTTTTGTTTTCTCAGGTTGAAAAGTCAAATAAAAAAAAAATGATTTCATGGAATATAATTATATATTAAACGATATCATAACCATATAGTCTTCGTTTACATTGTTTGATTTTTGCTAATGAATCTATTTTTACAATCAAATTTATCAATCGCAATTATTCCAATTATGAAGCCATCTATTCATTAATTATCAAGTAATATGTCATAATTATCAGATTTAGTAAGAAAATATGAAACATTGGAGCACTATCTAGTATGTTAACTTAAATGAATTGTAAAAACTCAAGAATTTATTCTTGTATTATTTCTTTTTTTTTTGTAGTTGTACAATTATTCAAATTCCAAGAGAATTGTTATCAGTAACATTAAATAGAAAATGTTTTACATGCTATCAGAATTGGTTTCTTTTTATGCATTATTGACTATATTAACATTAATATGTATTCTCATAAGAGTAACAGCAGTTTTTCAAGGAAAAAGTTCAGTTATGATTATTATATATTTTATATTGAATAAGAATTGTTAAATTTCTTGGATTTTTGTGCAATCATTATTTTATTCAATTTATTTTAAATGATTATTGAAAGATTAAAGATGATTTTATATATATACATATTTTTTTAAATTCTTATATGGATAATTTTATGATTTAATTTTACTACAGAATCATCATCAACATATTGAACAATTACACTAGAAAAAAAAAAAAGATAACATAAATCGAATTTCATCTCTGTCAATCTGTTATATAAGTAAATACTTTAGAACAATCTAAGAATGATTTAATTAAAAAACAAAAAAGAAAATGCTAATTATTATTAGACTAATTTAACTTCATGGAAAAAATATTTTAACATAAGTACTTTTATGGACTATTAGAGCAGCACATTTCAGCGCTTAATTTGTTAATTTATATTACGTGTATTGAATTACTAATAGTTTTGACTCAATACATTGGTTATTGAATTGATGAACTTTGTTTAATGAATAAATTTCAAGACAAAATTTTAAAAACTCGATCAAATTTATGCTCATAAATTTGCTTAGCTATTTCAAGTTATACAGTGGATATTTTATTTTTAAATTATCTTGATATTGGAGTATAATTTGCAGATTTTCTTATTGGTTTTTATCAAATTATTTTTGTTCTATATTTTATTTTTTTTTTCTATGTATCAATGATAATTTTATTTAAAATATAAATATCAGAAACAAAATTTATCTATAATATTTAGTTAAAACATAAATGAAATAACAATATTTATAATAACTATGAATAGAATATCATTCGAATGAATATTAAAAAAAATAGTATTGATGACTTAAAAAAACATTTCTATATTAAAATAAATAATAATATTGAAGAAAAATATTTTTTGTATTTTTTCTTGTTATTTGAATAATAAATAAATAAATAAATATTTTGTTTTTCTTTATTTTCTTTTTTTTTTGATTGTAAATTATGTCGAAACATAGACATGGTGGAAGACAAAATAGGTCTTATGGTGGAACTGCCGGTGGCAGTGGCGGTCGTGGTGGTGGTGGTCGTGGTGGTGGTAATAGACAAGGAAAAATTTCATATAATTCAGGTGATGAACCTGCATTTATACGACAATTTAAAGAACGTACTGGTTATAAAGCACCATCAACAACTGACGATAAAGTATAGAATCTGCTTTTTTTTTTCTTTTCATTTTAATAATGTTTTTGGTATTTAAATATTAGCGTCAAATGCTTATTAATGAAATAAATGATAATGATGAACGACCACGTGATGGAGATTATCGAAAAGATGATGAAAAACCTCAAATTGTACAATTAAGTACAAATGATTTAAGTAAAGAAGAAGTTGAAATTGAAGTAGCAAAAGCTAAAGAAGGTATTGTATGCGTTCTACGTCTTAGAATTTAGAAGAGAAAAACAACATCTGTTTTTCACCTTGTATTTCCTCAAGGTCAGAAAAATAAACTATTTATCAAACAGTATTTTCATTGTTATATGATTACGTTCGTACTAATATACAATATAATGTTTTTCCGTTTTGACAAAACAAGACAATATTGTTTATTAAAATCATATATATCGGAACCTTTTTAAGATTAATTTAATGTTCTCAAATAGTATTAAAAGTACTTTTTTCACTATCAACGAATATAGATGTTCTAAACAGAGACATTTTTATCTTTTGTCTTTGATATCATCTGTTTGCAAATGAAAGACTCAAGGTGCATAATACTATAATAGTGTCTCTTCTTCATTTTCGTTTTAGACTTAAAAAAATAACAGCATTGTATTCCAATAAGAGTATTACTACAAACTATTTTTAGCATGAAAAATTGCCATTTGTTATCGTAAATGAATGCCATATTTTCAAGCATATTTACATAGACTATTTCGATGAATAATTCAAATAAGCCCATTTTCAAAAATTTCGACGATTCGTTGTTTTTTTATTTTTAGCTGACGAAGAAAAAAAATGTATTGATTCAAATGGTCGTCTATTATTTCGTAAGCCAAAAGAAAAAACAGATGACAATATAAGTGCAACTAATAAGTCTGATATAATTGATATGGCATCAAATAAATCAATAAAACGCAAAACTCCAATATCATCAACAACTATACAAAAAGAAAGTAATGATGGAAATTCGAATGAAAAAAAAAAGACTAAAGCACAATTACTTTCATTTATGAATGAAAGTGGTATTGATGGAGATGATTAATTTCGTTCGTTTGCTTTCTTTTTTTTTTTCTTTTTTGACTGTAAATAAAAATCAAATGTCTGCAATTTATAATTTCTCGACCTAATCATTTTATGGCAAAAAAAAAACGAGACAGTTTTGTCAGTTACCATGAAAATTATAAACAAATTCATCCATAACAATTCGTTATTCTCGATAACTTATTTTTCTAATGAAAAAATTGTCATAAAAATTATTTGTGACTTTCTATGTATGAATAAGCAAAAGTCTGTTAATGTATAAAAAAATATCTGAATGAAAATTTCTTATATAATAACCATTGCCATAGATTCACCTTTCGTATTGTTATTATTGTTGTTTTATCAAATGGAATTACATACAACAAAACTTCATGTTTACATTTTCTGACATAAAAAAAGACATAGATTAGATCTATATATTATAAATATCAAATAACATAGACAACTTGATCAGTGACATGTTGGTTTTCAATGACGGACAACGAGTTCTTATTTTTTGCCATCTGTTATGTGTCAATCACATTTGTGTTCACAAGACAATATCAAATTTCATCTTAATGTATATTTCTTTTTCTTTTTTTTTATATGGATTTTCAACTGAATTGGATAGAGATGTTCTACTATCTTTAAATCAATGTTATTCACATAAATATTACATTGTATTTATCATCAAAGTTATCCGATCAAACACTTGTTTGTATTCTCAGACATATATATTTCACATTTCTATGAGATATTCAATATGTTGATGTAATTCCCAGCCAGTTTCATTTTTGATCCCACATATGTATTAATCGCATGTAAACGTGGGAATCAATCGGAGAGGGAAAAAAAAATGACAAACATTTATATATTTTTTGGTACTATGAATAATGATGACATACAACTTGTAGGTTGAGTTATGTATATTACTTATATGCATACTGTCATCGGCACTATTTGCATCTTCTTCGTTTTCTTTTTTTATCCTAACAATTAAATGAGTACGCCTCCTTTCTTCTTCGTTTTTTTTTTGTTTTTCCTGTTATAAAACTACTCAATAGTAGGATTAGTAATAATATATACAGAGAACAATGATTAATATTCAATTAGAAAAGGAAAATATCATAGGTTATTTTTTTTTGATACACTTGTACACATTTAGACTGTTTCACTTTTATTCGCGTTATTTCTCTCTGTACAAATAGTATCTTTTATATATATATATATATATATATATATATATATAGTACTGCACTCATTCATTTCAAGGCCATGTGTGCATATCATCCGATGATGATAACACTATAATTTAAGACGAATATGCGTTCTGAATTTCGCACATATGGTAAGGACACATTTAGTTGACGTCATATGGCATCTTTTCAATATAAGTATCTATACATGATTTATCAAAAGTAAGAAAAACCATTTACGAACAAATGTTCTCTTTATATTTAAATATGATTTAATTTCATTAATTATTATTATGTTTTTTTTTTTTTCGCAAAATTTTATTTAATCGATATGTATTGAATGTGTCATAAATTACTATTAGTATCTAGCAGTTTCTATATATGTAGGCGTATGTATTGAGTCATTATTGACGTAATAGAAACGATTGAAACTTTCGCAACAATACTAAACAGTACAAAGGAAAAATTCGTAACACGAGGAAAAAAAACCTGACACAATATAAATTACGCAAATAAATAGTAGTTGCGTTGTTTGTATTTTTTTATCAAAAAATTTTCGACATATGACAAGATCTATTTTTTTCGAAAATTAGTAATCAAAAAAGAAAAAAATTTTATCATCAATGATATGTTTTTTTTTTTCTGCTCACTTGAAATTATTCAAATGTGTAACACGAATGTAAAGGTGTACACAATAACTCGTACTTTACTGTAACGTTATATACTCGTGATTTTTTTTTTCCTCAGTGAAAAGAACAAGTATCAATCATGTATACTTCCGTTTGGTTTTCTCCTACATTACCATTTATTAGTTAAAGTGTCGTAGAATCGATGTCCTTAAGTAAATACAGACGGGACTAATATTCGGATGTTTTGTTCGTATTCTTTTTTTTTTTTCTATTCGTTATGAATAGAGAATAATAACAGAGTATATATTTTTTCAAAAGTTAATATCGTTTTTTTTTATTTGAATAGAATCTGAATTAATGACTTCTATTAGTATTGAAAAAAAAAAAGAAATAATAATAATTTTTTAACTAACTATTTTTGTATTGATATTCATCTACGCATATGAATTTAATGCTAAAAAAAACATTTTGTTTTGTCTCTTTTTTTTTTCTCTCGTCTATATAAATATTTTTTTCTTTTTTTTTTTTTCTATAAAGTATGTAAAGAATTTCGTTTGTCTTTTCTAGATTAATTGAATGTAACGTATTTTTCGTTTACGAAATAACAGACAAAACATCCATTAATCAGTTGACAGACAATTCTTTGTCTGTCGTTTGATTTAAACTTTAATTTGAACAACGTGTCCTTTTCATTCTGTATTTATTATTATTTATTTGGCAGAAACAAAAAAAAAAACGGCAACATGTATCGTCTTCTTCTCCTCCACCACAATCGTATCTCTTTATTTACATATAGCTATAGATATATATGTGTATATATATATATGTATTTTTCACGTCTATCACAAGTAGAAATGATTGTTTATTACGTTCTACGTATTCGTCTATATCACAACTGAATTAGTCTAATGATGGCAAAGACATTTGCTTGATCGTTCGTTCGTTATCTTTCTTTTGTTTTAATTAAACCAATTGTTTGACTAAGACTCAACGTCTGAGACAACATCGTATGTACCCAGCACTATACTTCCTCCTCCTCCTTCGATTGTCGCAAAAGAAAGAACATCCTTCTATTCGCCAGATTTCTTTTGATTCCGAGCCAAAATGAGAATAAGAGAGAAAGATAAAGAAAAAGAAAAAAAAATGCTTCTGAAGCGCGCAGAGTCGTTGTTTGCTAATTTCATTCAACTATTTGTCTTGGATTTTTGCCAATGCATTACATTGGCTTCACTTTTCTCGCTTTTTTTCTTTTTCCTTCTCGACCGTGCTTGTGTGCACACAACTCATTCATGGACACACACGCACTCGTATTTCTTTTCTTTCCTTCACTTTTTCTTTTTTATCCGCGAATCATGTTAGAATGGGTCAATGTCGGTTGGTAAGCAGTAAACAGAAGCAGCATCGCCGTTATTGTGTTTTTGTTGGATAAAGATATCTCGTTTTCTTCCTCCTTTTTTTTTTCTCGTTGGCGTTGAGAATATCCTCCCGATTGCGCGCGTACAACAAAAGAGAAACAAAAGAAAAATGAGAAAGAGAGCGAGAGAGAGAGAGTGAGAGAAAAAAAAGAAAGAAAAAGAAAAGAAAGGACAATTCATTTTGCAATTTTTCTTCTCTCCCATTATTGCAACACACACATACTCAGTCGTTTTTATTCGTTTTTCTTAGTCCATGAAACAAACATTTTCGTATTTGACATTTTAGATAAGCGTTCTCGTTTGTCGAATTTTTACTATTATTATTTTAAAATAATCAACATTAAGAAACAAAAAAAAAATAAACATTAAGAAACAAAAAAAAAAATAAACATTACTATCAACATCAATAAAACGATCATTTTTTATCATTATGAGTACCCTTGTCCTTCCTCCCTCTTCTCATCATCAACAACAACAGCAACAACAACAAGAAACAACTATACATCATCATCACCGTCAAAAACAACAATCAAATACAACATCAACAAATAAAACACGTTCAAGTAAGTTCAACTTGTACATTAATGTTATCTTATCATAGGTAAAGGAGTACAACAATAAAAGATAAAAGATATAGGTTATTACGTTCGCTCATCCTCTTTGTTAAAGAGCTTGTCATTGATATAATCGACGATGATACATACCAGGGATAGATCATTTATGTGCGACAGGTCTTTCTTTTTTTTTTTATCTTCGTATAATACGACATAGAGTATAAATGAGCGATGTGGATGGGATAAAAGGAACATTCTCTGATCTGTCATTTAGCTAGTTAAACTGTGTCTGTTTCTGTATATCAAACAAAATTGGATTGATAGCAACACTTGCCGACTTCTGTCTTAGATATATTTGTTTATATATATCTATGTATCTATATATATGTATCTTTTTTTTAGCGGTTGTTGATCCACTTCATGCTCGATATTTAATTGCTCATAAACTTGCATCAGGCGGTTTTGGAGATGTTTATGCTGGTGTACGAAAAAAAGATGGAATGCAAGTTGCAATTAAAATTGTTGCAAAAAAACGAATGCGTGAAATAAATACCGTAAGATAGAAATCAATAAAGAAATAAAGAAATAAAATTTTTTTGATTTTTAGCCTGATGGAAAATTACCACTTGAAGTTGTTTTATTACGTCGTGTAGCTAAAGTCAAAAATGTTATACATTTAGTTGAATATTTTATTCATAATGATCAAGTTGTTATTGTACTTGAACGACCTGAACGTTGTTGTGATTTATATGATTTTATATCTGAACGTCCAGGTGGTCTTGATGAACGTTTAGCACGAGATTTTTTTAAACAAATACTACAAATTCTTAAAGATATTCATTCATGTGGAGTAAGTTAAATAAATTAATTTTGAAAAAAAAAAAAAACAAAAACGTAATTTTTTGTTTTTTAAATTTCAGGTTCTTCATCGAGATATAAAAGATGAAAATTTTCTTGTTGACATGCGTACTGGACAATTATATTTAATTGATTTTGGTTCTGGTGCTTTATTACATGATGGAATTTATACAGAATTTGAAGGTACATCATGTTATGCAGCTCCTGAATGGGTTACATGTCGACGATATTTTGGTTTACCACAAACAGTTTGGTCATTAGGAATACTTTTATATGATTTAGTTTGTGGTGATATACCATTTTCTGATGAATTAGCTATTATTAAATGTCAATTACAATTCCCAAATCATCTTTCACCAGGTAATTAATT